GGGTAAGAACGTTACAACAACAAACAATGCACAAGGTAACGAATCACCCAAACACATACAAACAAAACTCAACCATCCTCATCCTACCAGACAAAGCCCACTCAGGTAATATATTGCCAAAGCCACGGCCAATTACCGTACTCCATATCTGGTAAAAAAAAATGTTTACATAATGTGTAATTACTTATGTCCCGTATTCTACAGCCTGACAGCGCACGCGGCGGTGTTGACCTCTGAACTTTGACCTCCGCCGCAGCCAATTATTTCGTGACTTCCTTTTCGAATACACAACCACCAGCCCCGCCCATCACAACCACCAGCCCCGCCCATCACAACCACCAGCCCCGCCCATCACAACCACCAGCCCCGCCCATCACAACCACCAGCCCCGCCCGCCATAGCCACGATCCCTGCTCACCACAGCGACGAAGCCCCGCCTCGCGCCGCGCTCTGATTGGCTGTGGGTGCCGTCGCGGCAGCCCCCTTCACTCGGACCATGCCGCCGCCGCCGCTCCTCGCGAGGTCGCGGTTCGGGGTCGTCGCGCTGCGGGCCCTGGGGGCGCGAGCGCACTCGGGGGGAGGACCCCCCACGGGGGGGGGTCTCGTCGCGCCCCCCGCCGCGGGGCCCCCCGGCGCGTGGCAGAGCGCGGTGCACGCGGCCCGGCGCGAGGTCGGCTACCCGGGATCGGTGCTCGGGCTCCGCGCGCTGCTGGGGGACGGCGCCAGCCACGCGGCCGGGAGGGCGGGGAGGCTGCGGCGCGCGGGGCATCCGCTGCTCAACACGGCCACGTCGGTAGCACACCAACACACGACGGTCCCCTGCCTACAGACTTGTCGGGGGCAAGTGCTGTTAGCGAGTAGCACCACCTATGAAGGCCGACACAGCACCACGCCCGCCTGCATTTGTCTCCTCAATGGCGATGTTGACACACCGCACAAGGAACTCATTTGAGGCCGAGTCGACCTGGCGGAGGTCCAGGAACCATTTAGACAACGGTCACTGGTGTTGACAGGCAGCAGGAATCGAACTCGTTTCGCCGGGTTGGGGGGCCGTCCATAAATGACGTCACGCACCTAGGATGGGGTCAGACATTTGTGACGATGTGTGACGAGGGGGGGGGGGAGATAAAAAATCGCGTGACGTCATTTATGGACGGCCCCTTGGTAGTACAGCGCGCACCGCTCCCCAACATCACGTAAAATAACACTCGTAACACTAACAATCTCTCCTCAACATGCACGTGAGGATAGCACAGCATAGATAGACAACACACGGACACACGACACAACACACGTTTGGGTGGCGGTGCACTCAGATGCTGTTGTTGACCCTGACCCTTTGCTGGGTCACGGGTGACCGTCACGGTGGCGGCAGCAGCTCGGGTCGCAATGCTGGGTGGCTGCCGGTCAGAGCTGTACACGGATACACGTGGGTACTCTCTCAGCGATGCAGGAAGGCACTGGAAGAAATATTTGTTTTTGCTGTGGCCTCCTCCGTGCGCCGTGTCCACTAGGTAGCCAGCCCTAGCGTCGGCCTTCAGGGCACGGAGTCACGGGTGGGGTGTCCACCACCACTTGCCTCTGTCTCTGAGGGGCTGCACTCCAGAGCCGAGCCGTGGAGCCCGGCGCAAAAATTGATCCTCGTGGCGGTACCGCGGGGTACCAAGTAATACTAAATGGCCGAGGCAATTAAATGTTTTATTTCTGGGACACTATTTTTGTCCAGGGGTGTACTTAACTCCGCGACTGGGGTGCCAATCAATCCGACGTCGGTGCTACTCCACGATGTCGAAACGAGCGAGGACGATTGAGCCGAAACCCTGAACGCTCGCAGTACCCACCGTAGTGGCGGTGCACCGTAGTGGTGGTGCACTCGTCGAGATGAGTCGATTGTCGCATCGCCGACCATCAACAGACTAAAAACGACTGCATCACGGACATTGCGCGAGAGCACAATGTCCGTGATGCAGTCGGGGTACTACGGCACCGCGGGGTACTACGGCACCGCGGGGTACTACGGCACCCCGGAGTACTACTGGGGTACTACGGCACCCCGGGGTACTACGGCACCCCGGGGTACTACGGCACCGCGGGGTACTACGGCACCCCGGGGTACTACTGGGGTACTACGGCACCCCGGGGTACTACGGCACCGCGGGGTACTACGGCACCCCGGGGTACTACGGCACAGCGGGGTACTACGGCACCGCGGGGTACTACGGCACCCCGGGGTACTACTGGGGTACTACGGCACCGCGGGGTACTACGGCACCGCGGGGGTACTACGGCACCGCGGGGTACTACGGCACCCCGGGGTACTACGGCACCCCGGGGTACTACGGCACCCCGGGGTACTACGGCACCCCGGGGTACTACGGCACCCCGGGGTACTACGGCACCCCGGGGTACTACGGCACCCCGGGGTACTACGGCACCCCGGGGTACTACGGCACCCCGGGGTACTACGGCACCCCGGGGTACTACGGCACCCCGGGGTACTACGGCACCCCGGGGTACAGCCATCAGGTTCCAGTGTCTGTGCTCACATTCGAGGCCCTGATTTACAGCCTCTGATTTACAGCCTCTAGTTTTGGGAAGATGGCTTTTGCGAGTGCGGCGTCTCATTGTCTCAGTATGACAGTTGTGGTGTGTAACGGGGTGATGTGTAGCTGTGGTGTGTAACTGGGGTGATGTGTAGCTGTGGTGTGTAACTGGGCTGTAGCGTGTGACTGTTGTGGTGTGTAACTGGGGTGATGTGTAACTGTGCTGTAGCGTGTGGCTGTTGTGGTGTGTAACTGTGGTGATGTGTAGCTGTGGTGTGTAACTGTGCTGTAGCGTGTGACTGTTGTGGTGTGTAACTGTGCTGTAGCGCGACAGTTGTGGTGTGTAACTGGGGTGATGTGTAACTGTGCTGTAGCGTGTGGCTGTTGTGGTGTAACTGTTAGGGTCGCCGGCCCCCGGGACCTCCCCTGCCTGCGACCCTGTCCGCGAAGTCCCGACGCTCCCAGACTCTCCACTAGTGTGGGAGCTGCCGCCGCCGCACTCCTCCCCGGGCGGGGAAAGGTCGTCGCGCTCCTGTTCCCCCCCCTGTGCCGTCCCCCCCCGAGTCCGGGTCTCCTGCCGGTGGGGCATCACCCTCGACCTCCCTGGGACCCGCTAGCGGTTCGCCGGCACCCAAACGCGACGCTCCCCGCCCGCGCAGTCCCACGCACCAATCACACGCGGGTAACCGGGGGGTTAAAGGTCGGAGGGTAAGCGACGTCGTTCGTGCTCACTCCGACGATTGGGGGGATTGGATTAAACGGGTTTAAAGGGCTATGCGATGGGCATGCGTGCGAGATGGGTATCCGCTCGCAACGTGGGAGTCCGCAGCCGACGGTCGGTAGCGCACACACTCCACGCGGCGCCGCTCCACACACGCGGCGACCGCCGCAAACAGCAAGCGCACCCACGCTTCCACTCTCTTTCCACACCCGCGCAAAAACCACACCAGTCTGTTATGTAACGACCACCGCGACAGTAAGCGCACCCACGGTTCCGCAAAAACCACACCAGTCCGTTATGTAACTGCCGACGATTTATTCCACCGCGCCGGCGAGCCCTTATTTAACCGAGTCAGTCGGGATCAGCGGGGCAGGACCAATCTATCTCTCGATAGTCGGCACTACACTCTACCTGTCCTCCCCTTTACCCTCTCCTGTTTCGCTCTTAAGCTAAGTCCCAACTCCCTCTCTCTCTCTCTTACTCACGGTTCGTCGTCACTGCCGTCTGGTCCTCGCGGCGCGTCGATACGTCCCACGGACGTTCGCGCGGCTGGACTCGGGAGTTGACGGACCTGGGGTCGACTCGAGTAGCCAGAGCCCTTTTTCCTTCGCCCTGACCCGCTTTATTCTTTCTACATCAAAGGGGCTACCTGGTGCCGACTCGCGGGCCAATCAGCTCGCTGGGATCACCCGCCAATCGGTAGGCCCATCTGTATCCCAGCATCCCCCGGGCCGTTGCTTTCAGCGACGTCCGCATCTAAATTTACCTGCTCAGCGGCCCTCCAGCCAGAGGGCGACCCTGCTTTCCCGCCGCTCGTGGCTCTGCCCTCCTACCTGCCTGCTGACCCGTGTGTGTTGTGTGTGCTGTCTACCCGCGGTGGCTCGGCAGCCCCGTCGTGACCATGTAATTCCAACCAAAGTCACGGCGCCGCGGTGGGTGTTAGCGTCGGGGGAGACCGTCCAATTCCCTGGCTGCAGGAAACCGTGAAGATTATCCCTTTACGAGGGCTTCTGGGTGAAAACCTGTCGGCCAGGGTGTCTCCCCACGCGCTCTAATGGTGGGGGGGAGTGCGTGCGTGTGTGTTCCGGTGGGGGGGGGGGGGTGGGGAAGTGGTGGGGTGGAGCAATGTCGGCCTCGCCGCTCGGGGCGGCGAGATCGCAGGTGGGCCACCCGCCGATCGGCTCCGTGGCGGCGGCATCACATAACTGTGGTGATGTGTAGCAGTGGTGTGTAACTGGGCTGTAGTGTGTGACTGTTGTGGTGTGTAACTGTGCTGTAGCGCGACAGTTGTGGTGTGTAACTGGGGTGATGTGTAGCTGTGGTGTGTAACTGTGCTGTAGCGTGTGACTATTGTGATGTGTAACTGGGGTGATGTGTAGCTGTGGTGTGTAACTGGGCTGTAGCGTGTGACTGTTGTGTTCTGTAACTGGATTGATGTGTAGCTGTGGTGTGTAACTGTGCTGTAGCGTGTGACTGTTGTGGTGTGTAACTGGGGTGATGTTTAGCTGTGGTGTGTAACTGGGCTGTAGTGTGACTGTTGGGTGATGTGTGACTGAGCTGTGACTGCCGTGGTATGTATGTGGAACCTTTTTTACACCGTATGTAGCCAACTGTGCTAATCGGAGATGTGTGGGGGACTGGGGTGGTGTGTTTGTGCTGTGTGAATGTGGGGTGCTGTGTTGGTGTGGGGTGCTGTGTGACTGCTGTGGTGTGACTGCTGTGGTGTGCACCCACAGGGGCTTGGTTTGTGACAGCAGCCAGATGGTGCAGATGCGAGGCCTTGTCGTGCTTCTTATGTCCAAAGCGGCCGGACCCAAACCTAGCAAGCAGCCCGACGGCAAGATCTCGTCCGATCCCGAGGTGATGGTAGACGGCATCTACCCAAGGTAACGCCTTGATAGGCAACATCTCTACGTATGTGCGCAATGCTTGTTGAATGTATTTGTTGCGGTATGGTGCGTGACAAGTTGAACTCGTGGTCGGCAGAATTGCCGTGGGAACAGTAATTGGTCTGCGCTTTGCCGACCTCCGCGTTTCTCAGTTGGAAGAGCAATTCTGTTGCGTGTACATGGGCCCCAGACTGGAACACCGCCCTCAAACTGGACTGCGGTGATGTTAGAAGGGACCTGCTTGAGGGTCTGGATGTGGTCAAGGTAGAAAAACCTTTCCTAATTCTCGCACATTTGTGGTGGTGGTGGATTTCTAAGTCGTCCATTATGCGGTTCCCTATAATCTCAGTGAACAGGTCCGATGGTTGCGATAGAAGGGCAAAGGGTCAAATTGTTAAGATAAGTTATGACCTCGCCTTAGAATGGAAGAATCATCGAGATGGCGTTCAACAGTGGAGGTGTTTCATTTGTACAAATATTGAGTCAATATTTCTAAAGTGCCTTTGATACTGAAATATCTCAACGCAACATGCAAAATAATCTGCACTCAAAAGTATGGGTAAAATCCAATTGAAATAAAGTCAAAGCCAATAATAGCTATAACGATGGATGAGATGCAGCATGTGTACATCCTCATCTTATCAAGGAACCGTTTAAGATCGTTTGACATCAAGAGGGAGAATTGGCTGTCTGGTTCGGTCATCATAACCATTGAGAAGGAGCTGTGACTTGATCGCTAAAGAAGAATAACCATGCCAACAAATTGAACAGTTAATTGAAGAGACTGCTGTGGTTGATATACACAGTACATAACATGCCATGCGTATCAAATGCAAATTATATTTTATTATTGACTGCCATGATGCAAAAAAACCTTGTTGTATGATTTGACTTGTAATATTTGTGTGTAACTTCCTTGAAATAAATAAATAGTGCACCACCCTCACATATCTGTCACTTCATATGAATAAAATATATTTTTTACACATCGCATCAGCTACACAGCCTTTGGGGAGTGCACAAATTCAGGAGCATTGGTTCAACACAAGCAAAACTCTCAACCGGTTTCGACATTCGTTGTCTCTTCAGCAGTCAGGCTTGCTTTGAACTCATTGCTGGTGAAGGGAATACCTTATTGGAGCTGTGCACTTTTGAAGCTCGATTGAAAACTCATTTCTTTAGAACTGCTTTTTTGTATTTAGTTTGTTATCCTTCCCTCATACCTCCGATTAGCAGAGTTGGCTACGTACAGTGCGAAAGAAGTTCAACATACATGCACACACAGACTCAAATAGAGATCCATAGTTTTTTTTGCACCGTACGTACGTATGTATGTTGAACTTCTTTCGCACCGTAGGTAGCCAACCGTGATAATCGCAGGTACGGGGAAGGACAACTATGGGTCTCTGTATGTATCTATGTTGAACTTATGTACAGTGCGAAAGCAGTTCAACACACATTCCACGTCGTCGTTGTTGTTGTAAACGCTTAATGTTTTCCATGCACAGCCAGCGCAGCTTGGCGGAGATTGCCGAGCTCATCCACACGGCGTTTGCCGTGCACCGCGGCATCGTGGATGTCGCCGCCATGGTACTCAGCGACGACTGCCGCGACGACATGGATTTTGGGAACAAGATGGCGGTGCTCAGCGGCGACCTCTTGCTTGCGAACGCGTCCACGGGGCTGGCGCGCCTCAACAACACGCATGTGAGCGCGCGGCGCTCGCCCTGTCGCCCCGGGTGTCGCATCGCTTTCAAGTTTCGTTTTGTGTAGTTTTGCGTCGAACTAAGACCTGTATCTAGCGGAGGGTCCAAGTTGCCTATTAACATCTAGCAGTTCTCCAGCGTTGATTCAAGCAAGTGTAACTCTTGTTGATGAGACACTGAATTTCAAAACAGGTCCCAAGTTTTTCTGGCGTTGTACTAATGCTGCTGAAATTATGCACTCCCAGAAGGCTGTGTGGCAGAGGCGTGTTATCGTGGTTATTTATTTTGTTGCTTTAAAAGCTGTGCGCCATGACGAGACAAGGTCTGCAGTTAGGATGGTGAAGATGATGCTGTGACGTGTGCAGGTTGTGGAGTTAATGTCCAGCGCGATTGGAGACCTCGTGCAGGGGTTGTTCTACGAAGGAAGTGGAAGCGAACAGGTGAGTGGGACACACAGGGTGGCAGTGTGACCCCGTGCTCACAATCACGCCTCACAGCAAGAAGGGCCCGGGTTCAATTCCCAACTCATGCACCTTTCTGTGTGGAGTTTCTATGTCCTCCCCCTGTTGTGCATGGGCTTATCTGAGTACTGTGGGATGTGGCAATGTACCATCCTAGTACCTGCAAATCGCTCAATTCGGATTACACACAGCAGCAGCATCACCTCCAACTGCGAACGCTTGGAAGGACCCTCCTGGAAAAGTGTTGAGAGTTAGGCTTTCCTTTGCAAAGCAAGCATAATAACGATTTGTAACTCGCCACCGCAGCAGAGTATTCACTCGCCCACGGAAGGGGAGGTGCGAGGAGGAACCAAAGGCAAGGGGGATTAAGGCAGCCAGGCGATCAGCCATGGCTAAATTCCCCCCCCCCCCCAAGCTCTGTGATCCTCTATATATGAAGGTGGTATCAGACATTGAATGTGTGTTACACGTGGGAGGAAACCAGAGCGCACGGAGAATAATGTTAAACGTGTGTTTCAGGTTCCGGAGAATGCCAGTGTCTGCGATTATCTGGACCGGACCTTCCTCTCCCACGGTGCCTTGCTTGCCAAGAGCTGCCAAGCTACACTCGTGCTGGCCAATCAGAGCGCCGAGCTGCAGCGGTCCGCGTTCAGCTACGGCAGGGACATGGCGGCGGCGCACCAGGTGCGAGCGGTGCAGACGCGTCACACACCTCACACGGCCGCCTACCTGTCATCCCTTGTGGGCGATAAAAGTACTTTGTATGATTTTGTGGGAAGTCAGCAGCGGTCGTGATTATGGAGAGATGCAAATCCCACATCACCACCAGGGATGAGTATGGCCCACTCTCGCTTGAGCATCCAGATTTGGAGACCGCTTGGCTTTTGGGTTCACTTGTTATGGTCGCGCAGCACACCTTTTACATACGGAAATGGTCACTTACCCTACGTTTTCTCTCATAACAAGCACACGGCATGCACGTACAAACCGTGTAACCAAGTGCCATTCACCGCGTGAAACGAGAGTCTGAAGCACTCTGTGGGATGAACTAAACTCCTAACAGTACGCATGGCCGCACGGGGGGGGGGGGGGGTGGTTTGTCAATTAAATACACAAGGTGATATATTCATAGAAACCCCACTGATTTTTTTTTTATGAACCCTCGTTTCTCAACAGCCGAGTAAATATTGTGAAAGTGACGGTTCAGTAGCATACACAGGAGAGGGTTAACAGATATAGCACGTGTGTTGAGATTTGTAGGAGGCTGCACGTAAAGGCTGTTAAATATAGTTTTATGTTGGTAGAGTATCTATAAATGGATCACCTTGTCACCGTCTCGCACGGTGAGTTAGCAGTCGTGCGGCTGGGAACATCGGGTTTTCTCGTCTCCGGTAACCGGCATGAAAAGCAACGGTGAACCGTTGCCCCCTTGGTTTGCTGGAGGCAATGAACGATGTCTCTCGCCATGTACATCGCGCGTGACAATCGGTACTGACATTCCGCTGGAAATGGTTCCCGCTTTACCGCTTGTCGCTAAGCAATCCTAGTTTACATGTGTGCGCGCATGTGTTTGTGCGCGTGTGTATAGCTCATCGGATTTCTCCAGTATAAATATTCTGATGTGTGTGTGCGTGTGTGTGGACTGCAGCAGTTAGCGTGCTGCACTAGAAACCAAGTGACCCGAGTTACATTTTCGCTCACGGCCAACGCCAGTGACGATTATCTGAACCGGTCCTGGGCCTCCCCTAGGTTGACTCAGCCTCAAATAAGTACCTAGTAAACATCACCAATCGCGAGATAAAGGTGGTTGAGCGTGGTGCTTGCCACCCACCTCCTTCCCGTACTTGCCAACAGCACTTGCTCCAACAGTCTATATGGCGGATTACTTTTTTGCATGTGTGTGCATTGGAAGCAGTAGTGTAGCGGTTAGTGCGCTACGCTATGAACACAGCGACCCGAGTTTATTTCCCACTCACCGCCAACACCAGTGACGATTATCTGAATTGTTCATGGGCATCCCCTGGGTCGACCCAGTGTTAAATGAGTGCCTGGTGCCATGTTGGCTTTCATAGGTGCTACATGGTAACAGCACTTTCCCCGACAGTCTGTGTAGGCTACATAGGGAATCTTTGTCCGTTTGTTTACGCAGCTGAATCTGGACATGCAGCCGTTTATTGGGGTGGACAATGATGCGGTGCACTTCAGCTTTCACTCCGCGCCGGCGATCCTGCACCAAGAGCGAGTGGGAACAAGAGCCTGGCAGAGCGCCGTCAAGAAGGTACGCAAGCATGCGTAGAACCGACACGCAGGTATTTACACGCACGCACAGAAACGCCGGCACACGTGCGAGAGTGATAACAAAATATTAATTGCAACAAGGAGCTAGCCGCACAGCACAGGGAGCGGTGTTTCTGCTGTAAAATGCAAAACAAAAAGTCATTAGTGTCGCAGTGTAGAATAATCGTACCATTGTGAACAAGCGGGCAATACGCGTCCCCCACTCATCCGTTCCTTCACAAAAAGTATTTATGTTACGTTTGTTGTCCTTCCCTCACACCTCCAATTAGCACGGTTGGCTATGTACGGTGCAAAAGAAGTTCAACATATATATGTATATCCCGTCAACCTCACGGCCTTCTGGAAGTGTCATTTCAGTGGCATTGGTTCATCACATGCAAACTCTGTAACGGTTTCAACATTCAGTGTCTAATCAGTAAAGCCACGCTTGTTATTTTATGGATTGTTTTGATTTTAGATTGCTCTGTCGTCCGTCTGCGTCTGTCATATCTGATATTGTCCCGGTATACTTTTGAGGGAGAGGTGTTTACCTTGGTGGGATCTTGCCCAGCTAAAGATGCCTCCGGCAATGTTGAGATATGCAACGCTCATCATGGGGGGTTTTGTGGCCGCGCGCGTGGTTAATGCACGCCGTCGCCCACTCATGGGACTTCTGCCATTCTCTTCCAGGCCACAGATGCCTCGGGACGCATTGACTTTGGAAAGGTGGGAATCGCTTCGCATTACATAGCTACGCACACATTTATATTTAAACACAGTTGCTGAGCACAAGGCGCAGACGCCCAAAATGTCAAGCGACCAGCAACTGTGCCACGTGCCTGACGCGTTTGCCGTTTGGCGCATGCCGTTTGGCGTGTGCCGTTTGTGTGTGCTGTACGTGATGCTCCTATGCTGTGTGCTGTGACGCGTGCTGTGCCGCGTGCGTGACGCTCGCATTCTGCATGCCGTGCGTGTTGCATGCAGCTGGCCTCCTCCCCGGATGTGCGCCAGTCGGTGCTCGCCACATCCCAGCTCTGCCACCTGCACGGAGAACGGGCGCTGGCGGCGCTGGCGGCGCTGCCTCCGTCTCCGGCGCGCGACGCCCTCACCACGATGGCGCACGCCGCCTCTGTGCTGTGAGATGACGCCGCCTTCAACGTCATGGCCATCCCCACCCCACGCGTCAAACTTCGGCGATGTCCGACTCGAATGAGCAGAGGCGGTGCTCGTCTCCCGTTTAGGACCCTGAGCCGGTGGTGGAAATTCCACATTGCTATGGTGGGGGGTGAGTTTCTCCACGGGACAACCCCTGTTGACTTCCCTACAAAGTAGTACATGTTTTTACGATGGGCTGAATCATGCCCAACCGGGATTTGAATTCTCAACCCCCGCTCGCTTGTGCGCCGTGCCACGTGGCTGGACTCCCAAGCACAATATAACATTTGACAAGGCCCTACAGCTGTAAATGAAACATAACATACACAAATACGGGAAAACCTTGCCCATGTCTGAAACACGAGGGGGGGGGGGGGGATTTTTCTCTACGCGGTTTTATGCTGCTACGGTGCGAATTCATTGACTGAGAACGATTTACAGTATTTGCCATGTGTTTGTGTGATAATGTAAGGCAGTCGACATGCACAATGGCACAACACAAATAGGGTGCTGCGGTGGCGAGAAGTTAACTGCCTTGCCTGGTATACAGATCGTGGGTTCGATCGCGATCCCGACTGACGCCTGTATATTTGGAGTTTGTTTTCCCTGTGATCACATGGATTTTTCTCCAGGTCCTCCAGTTTTTCCCTCCACATTTAGAAACGTGCGTTTAAGAGTATCTGGCTGCTATAAATTTCCACGTGATAAGCCACTTCGTTGAGCTATCATTTGTGGCCAGGTTGCTTCTGAAAAGAGCTACACAGCTCGGTGGGCTTCACCTGGTAAAATAAAAAAAAATTGTTTAGTTTAAAATGTTGACACATTGTCACATGATCTAGCCACCCAGTCGTTGAGGACATTAGTCAGGTGCAGGCCTAGATGGTGAATCATTAACATTCAGTGCCACTCGCTGTGCGTGAAGAGGAATCGAGCCGGGGGTTTTGTGTTGAGGTTCAATTGAAAAATAAAGTGTACGTACGCCAGAAATAAAGAGCAAATCACCATCCCTTAGTACAATACCAAGGGTGGAAATCTTGTATAATTAGTTCAACAAAGGAGGGGGTGATTTCAGACCCAGGAACACTATTTTTCACCATAAGGTCTATTATATATTTGTCAAAGATGGTTTTACCCAACACGGCATATTCCAGGATTGTAACTGCCCCCCCCCCCCCCGTGTTTTGTCGTGGTCTGCCTGGACTCAATGTGGAAGGGAACGCATCGGTAGTGGTGAGATGTTTATTTTATGTGCTCGGACAGACACTTTTTAAAATAAAACACTTGTAAAAGTACACAGCTAATTATATTTTATTCTTAAGCTCATGGTAGAACCCTACGCAGCAGCAGCATCACTTAAAATCTGCTTCGGACACTAAAGGTCTCAAACTGTTTGTTACAGCCTCATGTTGTGATACACTACACTATATTGTTCCAGCCTCAAGTTGCTTCTTTGCTGTCGCCCCCTCAGTGTGGAACTCTCTATCCTTATGCATATCCACAACATCAAGCAGCCCTGAGCTTGGCTGCGCGCCTCTGAGTTCTTGACTTGTACACAATCTGGCGTGTTAGAAATGTCAATTATTAAGGCCCGGGTACAATGATTTTTGAGCACGATCGATGGTATGCGATGGTGGTTTGCGCTGCCCATCGCATCCCGACCAACACATACATGGTTACGTCACCAAGTTGGCACCGTGCCGCCTCTCGTTAAGTGTTTGTCCGTGCCCAGCCGAGCCCAGTTCTCAATTTTTGCAGTTGGGGCGTAATCGCAATAAAACGACCAATCGGTGGACGAGTTTGAGTCATGTGACCACGTAGAGGAGTCTCTCTATCGTTGTGCGTGCGCCGATTAGCAAGCCGTGTTATGAACCCAGCGACCCGAGTTCAGTTTAACAAGTCGGCTTTCGCGACCAATATTCATAATAAAGGTTTTTGGGTTAGATCGCGTAAGTATGTGTCATATCCCTCCACCACCTGACAGCCAATTAGTAAGGGATTTTTCACGTAAACAAAATGCCAAATAGTTACCAGAGTTCGCTGCCCACTCACGGCCAACACCAGCCACTATCTTAACCGATTGTATGGCATCTCCTAGGTTAAGTCAGCCATAAATGAGTACCCTGGTGTGATGTGTAACGATCACCACTGGCAAGACAAGCAGCCAGGCGTGGTGCTAGCGATACTTGCCCTAATAGTTTAAGGCTTGTATGCCTGCGAGACTTTGACATTAAAAAAGACTTGACATAAGATATTGGAACTAGAAATATATTGCTACAAGTTACCGCATCTAAGCTGGACCCAAAGAGTGACCAACATAGAAGAAAAAGGTACATAGAAGACAACCTGATGATGGTGCACGCAGTGATGAGAAGGAAACTTGCACTGTTTGGACACCAGATGTAGGATGGACAACAGGAAAATCAAGAGTGTTCAGGAAAAATGGAAGGAACCAGAAAGAGGAAGACCTAATAGAAAATGGCTTGACGACGACATAAGAGATTGGTACCAGAAAGATGTGGCACTACTTGAGCAGATTGGCACAAGGCAGAGGAAAGTGAAAATACAATTGATGAAATGTGCAGTGAACACTTATGGGCTATCTGCCCATGGATCCTGATGATAGGGGGAACTTTGTTGTATGAGTGTATGTGTATATATGCGTGTGTAATGTTATGCCCTCCCTTCTCTATGCTTACGAAAACATGGACCTCTTTAAAGGACTATCTGTGCCAAATTGAAACAGTCAGACCGACCTGCCTACAATCCATCGTGGGTTTAACTAGACTGGATTGTCCGAGCTCAAATATTATTTAGCTCCTCCGGCAAGTGAGGCTACGTTGGCTGGGTCACGTAGCCTGCATGCCCAGCCACTGTATGCCCAGGCAGCTTGTTTGGCTGGAAAGAGGGGGCTAAATGGGCGTGGCACATTCTAGGCAAGAGATGGATTAAGTGGTACAGGATGTGGAGCTGAGTGGATTTGCCAATGACTGGTACCAGCAGTATCAAAATCAGCTTCTGTGGAGTTGGCTCGTGAAGGATGCTTCTGGGCGGTTGGAGGAAGCTACCCTCCAGAAACAACGGAGGGAAGAGGAGCGACACTCACAACAAGTGGAGAGCCGAGCGGTTAAAACGCAACAAGTTGGCACAGTGGGGAGTACAGGTGGTACATCTGCCAATCATCTCAGTGAACCCATGGCACCTGGTGGGTCTGTTCTGTAACCTGCCACGAGCAAGCCTTTGACACTTCACGTGGCTTCAAGATGCACCTTGCTTGACAATCGCCGTGGGGACATCACCGCCACGTAATGGCGAACGGCAGTTATCCAGGTTTATGGCAGGCGTTGGTGGCCGAGTTGGTGTCTGCATGTGGGAAGCGGTAGTGTAGTAGCAGTTAGCTCACCTGCGTTACAAAATCGCCGACCCGAGTTTGGCCAACTCCAGTGACGGTTTTCTGAATCGGTCCTGGGCCTCCCCTAGATCAACTCAGCCTCAAATGAGTACCTCATGCGGTGTAAAAACATCGCCGCTGGGGAGACAGGTGGTCGGGCGTGGTGTTGGCCACCGACCCCCTCGTTCGTGTACCATGCCAGCCTTCATAGGTACTCGCTCACAGCACTTGCCCCAACAGTCTGTTAAGGCTATACGAGGGGTATTTGTCTATCTGCACATATGCAGTGTGTAGCAGGTGCGTGTCCAAGTCAGTGTAAAGTTGCACGATGTAGCTGGTTGGTGAGTGGCCGGTTAATGCCGTGTGCTGGGGGAGTGCGACGAGCAAAAACCGGTGGCCAGACGCGCTCCTGCATGGCCCACGTGCGCGCAGCCAGAGCCAGACCTGCGTACACGGTGGAGCAATGGCGCCTAATGCCCGTCGCACCCTCGTGGTGTAGAAACAGACGTGCACACACGAAGGTCAAAGTCCACAATGTAGCATATCCTAACTTGCAACGAACACGAGTAGTAACTACTACACTAGTAGTAACTCGATGTTAAGTCCAGTGAATTGTGGAAATCGTACGTCTCCCCATCTATCGGGATCACAATAACAGCCCTCTACAACCACCGCTGAAAATCATCCACGCGCTTAACGTTGAACGCTGATAAAGCTTGGAAAGCCAAATGCAGTTCACAATAAGTAAAAAAACGCCTCATGAAAGACTCGACGATAGGAGATACTTGGCTTCGATTTCCAGCTAAGCTCATGAGGCCAATGGTGGAGCCAGGATTTTCAGGTGGGGGGGGGGGGTAACCCCTCCAGCAATTAAAAATTATATTAAGGACTTGTCCCTTGCTTTTTATTCGACGCGTGTGCGGCGATGGCGCAGCCATCGATAGAGGGTCGAATTCGAACCGTGTGTGATCGGCATCGCACTCGCTGAAGGTGTTTGCCTTCAGGGATTTCGTGTTCTGTATATGCAACTGCGCACAATTCTGTGAGTCACTTATAACTGCTTTTCCGTTACTTATTGCCGATTATGGACTCACTATTGTCCTATCATCTCATCGAGTCCCTGCACAATAATATGCTACACAGTGGCAGTGAATGAGGCCATAACTCCTAAACCGCATCCGCAAACAAAAACCATGCAAACAGATGCAGACACTTGAAGCACAAATGGAAAATTAAAAACGTTTCGGCTCGGTGTACGGTGACTACGATTGCCGAGAACTGAACCATGGGATTCACTAACACGAAGGGGGCATCGCAGCGCTACACTCGGCTGCTTCGAACGCAATGTAAAACTATAGCCATACCAAGAAGACCAGATTGGTGATACCAAATCTGTTGCACAAAAAAATACATGACGGTTTTCACACATTTATTAACCATTTAAAACCGCAAAACAAAGTTACAGAAAATATTTAATTCAGTCGACCATGGTCAGGTTTCATGAACACGGTGGTGTAATTATGAACGAATCCACGACAGTATCCTGGCCAGCCACCTGCTTTTGAAATGAGAGAGTTAAGGTGGCCAATCAGGTGGCCAAAGCAGTGCCAAATAAAACGGGTGGCCGAGCACTGTCCAGTAACAGAGATCTGTGACGGCCGAAAGTCTGGGCCACAGCAGACCTTGTCCAGCGTCTCCTCGTGCCCTCGTATTTGGTGGACAGCAGCTCCTGCACGAGTTGCAGATGTCTCCACATCGCTCGCAGGGCCAGGAATCGCGCGGTGCCGGCAGCCCTCCGCTTCACCCGACCAGGTCAAAGTCGTCTCTCTGTAGCGGAACGAAAGCATGGCACGGCCATGACGCGGCTGACACCAATCGCTCAACAGCCACCACACTCGAGCTATTGAGCAGCACGCTTGTATTCTCCACTACGACGCTCGTGATTATGTAATTACGTGTTCTACGAGACCCATGTTGAACTGAGGATCCTCGCCTATAAACACCTGGTAGTTCAGCATTGGTTAAAGTAAGCGCGACTGCTGATGAGACAATGTCAAAAACTGGCCCAGTTTGCTTTTGTTGAACCAATGCTGCTGAAATTCTGCACACCCAGAAGGC